CAAAAGTACAAAAAGAAAATTTACCAAATTCAAAGTAGACAACCCAGTATAAAAAATCCAGCATAAGAGGTTTGTTGTTGTTTTCAACAAAAAAGACACAGGATAAAGTATGTTTTTCTGTGTAAGGTTCAGGCAATGACCACTTCCTACCCACTTCACCTCCAGGGAGCCCCCAGGTTACAGTCCCTTCAATCTTTTATATCATAGGTGTCTGTCCAGCACTTAGCTGTGATTTCAAGCCCCAGATAAGCCTCTGAACACTTCTCCCTCCCAGGGCTCTCTAACCCTGCCTGGACAGAACATCCCTGTACCAGCCTTGAAAAGTCTGAATCCCCTCCGGCTCGCCTGAGCATCTTAATCACCCAGGCAGCAAAGACAGAGCCAATAACTACCAGTAATCAACTTGACCATTACTAAATTATTCAGCTGGAAGCAAAACAGTGCTCCCACCCTGCTAAGAAAATGTTTGTATTTTAGAGAGATGCTTTTTCCATGTACTGCCAAGAATCAAATCCCTGTAAATTAACAGTCCTGGTTTATAGAAAATGGCTCATTGCAAGTTGTTAACTGGACAAGACACGGCAGCATTCACCCACGCTGGGGTGATAATGGGGTCCAGATTTCATAGAATCATGGAATGGTTTGTGTTGGAAGGGACCTTAAAGCCCACCCTGTTCCACCCCCTACCATGGGCAGGGACACCTTCCACCAGACCAGGTTGCTCCAAGCCCTGTCCAACCTGGTCTTGAACACTTACAGGGATGGGGCAGCCACAACCTCTCTGGGTAAATCTCACACGCCATTTGGAGGAGTACTAGGACTCCTTTTTAAAACAATTCCTTGTACATCCTGTTCTCTGAGGATTGAAGATGAAAATCTCATAGAAACTTTACGGCAAAACAGTTTCAGAGGAAAAAGCCTGTTGTATGAAACTAAATTATTTGCCTTGAAACTGCCTTATATAGAATTGCCTTATACAGAATGCAACGAATCAAAAGCAGAATAACTAAGGAACATTTCCTAAATTTATGGTGAACAACGGGACTATCTGATGCTGCCAGTCCTGTATCCTGTATCCCAAAGGACTGGTTATTAGTCCCGGATTCACAGGGTCCAGGGCTCTGCAGCCCAGGGATAGCTGGCCATGCCAACACTGGCTTGTTGCCATGAATGCAAATCTGAAGCTGAACCCCACATGTAACTAAGAGTCATAGCTTGTCCAGGCCCAGGCACGAGGGTCCTGCCCAGCTCAGGGGTCTACAGTTGCCATGAATCCCAGGCATATCGCAGCTGGAGCAGCTCAGGCGTCCTGGGAGCACCAGCAGCTGCCAGGTGACAATGACACCCCTGTCAGGTTTACAGCTGCTATTAGCAGCAGTGGGGTTGACAACCATTTATACACAATTCAGGGGGGACAAGAGGGCAGGAGGTGTCCTGAGGAGCAGCACTAGGGCCTCAAACCTCATTTTGGGATGTTTCCGAAAACACTTTTTTTTTTTTCTATTTTAAATTCCCACTCTGAGGTTACTTTTACAAGTTTGATTGGACTACAACCAAGAAAAAAACCTTCTCACAAATTGAAAGCCCGTGTGCTTCAGCCAGCTCCACTCTGCACTTCAATTGCTTTAAAGCAGAGGCCATGTGTTGTGTTCTCTCAGGGGTACGTGGGAAGGTGAAATAAAAGAGAGTGAAGAAAAAAAATATTAAAAAATATCAACGCTTAGAGTAAAATGAAATAGAACTGCTAAGGGCTATAGCAGTCTGAAAATCAACAACATGGAGACAATTTTTAAGGACAATCCTCCTTTCCCCATGTCTTTTCTAAACACACATCCTTTCAACTGATGCTCTCCTGCTCCCCAAACACACAACCCCAGACCTTGCCTAGAATACCTGTGACTGGAAAGAGTTTTGAGCTTAATGGGATGGACATCTCACCAAAAACCATTTCACAGGGGTTAAGACACTAGTTTCCAACCTCCTGAACAAATTAACCTCCCTGCTCACAGCCTGTATTTTTCAAGCCTCTACTTGGTGATTCCTGATGAGATTCCTGAGGTTATGCCTTAAAAGTTGTACTCTATATTTCATTTTGAAGCAGTCTGTCCCCAGCTGCCAGATTTATTATTCCAAAAGCTGGGCATGTGCATCTTGTGCTAAAGAAAGACATAAAATATTCTGAGAGAGTTTTCCCATCCCATGTGAGCTGCTGTTGAGTACCAGCACTCAGTATTTTCAGACCAAGTGCATTTTAATACATCTATACTCTTGGCATGTCCACTTTAGATATGACAAATTCTGAGAAGCAGCATTCCTGGTTTCCCCCATATCGATAAATTACTTCTGAAATCCTAGCAACTGGGGTTCATATCCTTCATGGTTTTGTAGGCACTTACACACCTGTGCAGGCACAAAATAAACTCAGTAGAACTCAGTAAACTCAGTAGAAAAAGAAGGAAGAGAAGCGGGTGTTCATGTCTTGTTTTCTCAGAGGAAAAAGAAAAGGTAAAAGAAAAAGCTCCTGCAGCTGTGCAGCACAGACACTGCTCCTGCTCCCTGTTTTGCCAAGACTTTTCCCTTCCTGGATGGAGCATTTTTCCATGGACCCATCAGGGCATCCCATCTCTGTATGTGTCATCTATTAGAACTACAAGAGTACCAAAGACATTCCTGCTTCCTGCCTGCAGAGATGGACTATAAATGGTGCCATTCCCATTCCTTCTAACCTTGATCTGACAATTCAAAAATAGCTAAAAAACCAAACTCCAAACTGCTGAAGCCAATGATAGCTTCATTCTAATCTCTCTGCACTGTGCCTTTTTTAAACTACAAAAGATGTCCATCTATATAACTGAGTTAAAAACAAATGACAGAGAGCAAGACAAATACATCACTCAATTCCATGTACCTATTTTGTTACATTTCCTCTTTAAACCATGAAATTCAGCAAGACAGAAACTTCCCTATAGCCCTGAGGAATATTTGCTTTTACTCTCTGTTATATCATGTGAACTTCAACTCTTTACAAAAGGTTTTCTGACTTCATGGCAGAAAAGGAAAGGCAGCAAAGTAATTTGGGGGAGATCAGAAGCACAAAGCAGTGCAATGGGAGGTTCCCTGCCCATGGTAGGGGGTTGGAACTGGATGATCTTGAAGGTCCCTTCCAACTCAAACTATTCTAGGATTCTTGGATCTCATTAAAGACACAACCCTGAGTGCCTGCCCTGAGGAGAAAGGTTTGCACAGACCATTTTGCATAAGCAAGTTATGGAGAATCCCAGAGAGGGTCTCTGCACATGGCAAATGGTCAGATTAGAATGTGGTTTCCCAAAAGCAAATTGTTCCTTATGAAACACCATTTCTTGCCTTTGAATGAGCAGATTCAGAAGTATGAAAAGAAACAGGGACTCATTTTGGTACGTCCTGTAAGTCGAGGATCAGAAAGTGGGAAGTTGGACCTCCCTCCCTTCATAGGTTTAGTTACGGCACTCAAGTGCATAGATTTTTAAAATCAATTCCTACGAGGACACTTTAATGAATGAACTAATGGAAGTACAACACTTAACGAAAACCATTTACTCAATTTAAAGAATAAAATCCTTTGCATTTTTCTCATCTGCTCTGTAAAGCAGCTATTTACAATTTTCATTTATTTGTATTAAAATCTCATGAAAGACAAGCACCATATTGTGTCTGACAGACTGCCATGTATTATTTCCAAATTCCAGTTAAATGAAAAAGCAGGGAGATGACTAACACTGAGCAACTTATTTGAATTTACTCAACACTAAGGAGCCTGACAAAAAAAGGACTGGGACAAAACTGTGCGTGGATGGAGAGAGTGAAAACCATACAGGCTGATTTAAGCCTTCAACATAACTCATTTCCATCTCTATGTGAAACAGAGCAATTCAACCTAACTCTGCATAATTGGAGACCGGGATAAACGGGACCAAAAGCTGAACTTTTTCCAATTTCAGTTTCAATGCTGTAAAAGGTACAGCCTACACTTGGCAAAACAAAACTGTCTTTTTCCTTTCAATTTCCTTTCTTTTTTCCTTTGAACTGTTTTTCTTCTTTTTTTCTTGGTCTCTTGGAAGAGGACTGCTACATTGAAATTATCTGTACCTGCTGACATTCACTGCACTTCATGGCTTAATGACGCCCCACTATGATATTTTGGGGACCATCTGCATGTACCAGAGTGGCTCCACTGCCTGAAGTGTCTCTGTGGCAGGGGATTCAGGAGAATCCAGTAAAGATATCTCGGCAGTAGAATTGTTTACTGAAAGAACTGAATCTGACATTCAAAAAACCCAATCTGGCATCTTTTACACTGTAGCATAATTTCTCTTAAATGGAAAAGGGAGAGGAAACAGCAAGAGCAGAGGCAGAGAAGGGTTTAGCAACCAACTTGTTGAGCTTACACTTGAATTGATATGCTTTAATTCATCTGAAGATATTTGTTTAATAAACAGAACATCCAAGAGGCAGATTAAGCCAAAAGACACAGAAAACAATAAAAGATTACCTTTGGTTTACCTCTGTTCAGCAAGGGCTTTGCTGTCAAGCAAATAAATCACAGTTTATTTAAACAGCTACTAAGCATTTCTGCTCTCCAGACAGAGGTGTTAACCTTGCTGAAGCAGCTCTGCCTCTGCACCATTAATTTCTAGTCCAACCATTCTGGTAACTTACCTGCTTGCAACTCTTAATTCATAATGGTTAAATAAAAGAATATACACTTGTAACCTCTGACCATAGCAGAAAGCATTACTGAAACATAAACCTTTCAATTTAAACAGGAACAGCAACTGATCTGATAAAAGGCAAAACTATCAATTATTATTGGAGACTGGAGTTGTTGGTTTGTCCTCCCTGTCCTGAACAACTCATTACAGCAATTAGACATTAAGGGCATTATTATTTTCCATGTTTTCTTTGTCTTTGCCTGCTATTCTTTAAAAAGGACAGCAAATACTAGATTAATAGAAACTCACCAGTGGAGTGTCTTTCCCCCCAACGATGCTGAGTCCCAGGCCTGACCGACCCTTAGATATCTCTATAGTCATCTCTTGCCCTGGAACTATGGGACATGTTGCTGGATCCACAGGCAGTGGAGGTGGAAAGACACCTAAGACCATAAAAAGGTAAAAAAATAAGTTACACTATACAATAAGAAAATTAAAACCACCAAAGGAATTGTACAACAACAACTAATAAGCTCATATTTTCCTATTAATTTTAAACAACTGAACTAGAGGACTATTCTGAGTCACCTCTGAATTCTTTAAATCAGAACAACTTGAGTTCTGGAAGTAAATGTTCAGAGTAAACGTCTGGGAGCACATCTAATTCAGTTAAAACCTAGACAATTCAGATCACGATGGCAAGGGGTCCCGATCAATTCAGGACAGATAAGTACATATTCCAGCACCATGGAACAGACAAATTTCCCAAACTGTCTTGACTTGTACTTTACTCAAAAACAGGAACAAGACCTTCGTACGTAGAAGTCAAGAAAAACAAGTAAAGACACCTTCAAGCTCTCAAAAACTGTAAAATGAGAGAAAAATACAAACACTATAAAAAAATAGGTCATTGGATGTTCAAAGAAAAAAAAAATCTCAGTAAAAGTTATCTGGAAAGAAAAATGGAAACATCCATCCTGGGTTAAGGTATTAAAAATACACTATATTGTGAAAAAAAGAACTGGTTCATACTACGGCTGGTGACTTCTGCCTCTGGAGAAAGGTAAGTAGGTGCTGGCTCCAGGGGTATCTCCTGTAAGCTGACTGGCACTTTAGTTGAAGATTTAGATTGTTTGATCTGGTTGAGGTCCTAAAAGCAAAGCAGAAGCAAGAGAGATCAGTTATCAGTCATAGAATAGCACATTAAGTTGATATTATCATTAGCTGTTCATTATCATACCTTACTAAATCCTCAAACTTAATAGAAGGAAAATAAGCAATTTCCACATACTTAAAAAGAAGTAATTTTTCAAGTTTCCACCAATAAAATTATTTTAATGTCTCCCCAGTTAGCCCCTTCCCCTCATAAATCACTCACTCTTCAACTAGATGAAGCCCTCAGAACCCTCCCTTTCTGGTTAACATAAACACAGAGATATTTTCCTAAACAACCGTACATTTTCTGGGAGCTGCTCCTCTGTTTCCTGCTCATCTGCCACCACTGGTTTCTCAGCTTTATGTTTCACATCCTAAAAAAGAAAAAAAGAAAGTTAGGTGCATTGAAAATGTCTCTTTAGCTTAAATAAAATATCCTCCAGAACTCAAAATGATGATTCTCTGCTAATGCAGTGATATTTTGGAGTGACAGGACAAGAGGGAATGGTTTCCCACTGTCAGAGGGCAGGGCTAGATGGGATATTGGAAAGGAATTCCTCCCTGTGAGGGTAGTGAGGCCCTGGCACAGGTTGCCCAGAGAAGCTGTGCCTGCCCCATCCCTGGAAGTGTCCAAGGCCAGGTTGGATGGGGTTTGGAGCAACCTGGTCTAGTACAAGGTGTCCCTGCCCATGGCAAACCTAGAATTTGAGTTGGGTTCTAAGATTCTATAATTTCTTTGTGTAAGTCCATTTGCAGCACCAAACAAAGCTGAAATCCAAAATGAGAAGAGAAAAATCCAGTGTGAACAGAGGAATTATTAAAAACACACCCCACAGTTTTGAAGCCATACAACGTAAGGGAGGGACCTTCAGGGAGGAGATTATCACATGTGCTCTATGTTGCTCCAGAGCAACATGAAGCTCTATAGAAGAAGGAAGTGTGTCCTCTGGAATGACCAGGACAGCAATTCCCCTCAGTGCCCACAGCAGAACAGGGCTCAAAGTCATCTGCTCTCTCCTCCTCCCTTTTTGGTACTCTTAGATAAAATAACTGCTTAAAATGCATCCTCCGGCCTCATTATTAAGATCTCCAACAATGGTATTTCAATCACAGGCTCCACTTGTAGCCTTATTTCTTTTTGAATCCTTGCAAACCACTAAAATATATTTTTTATCTCTTACTTCTACAACTGCTTCCAGATAGTTACAGTGTTCTCCCTCGTTAGCTCATAGCCAAACTGGGGTCACTTTGATTCCAGTATCAGTTATCTTCCCTGATGTTAAAAACCCTGATAAACAACCCTGTTTGCAGAAAAGCTGAGTACCAGCTTCAAAAGACAACAGAGATATTCTGCATCTCAAAAGAATTTCTAATTAAGATGACAATTCATACATTAAAAAAAAAAAAGGCAAATCAAATTTTAGGTAACCAAGCTTGAAAATACTGGCCTTGTTTGCTAAAGTTTTATGTTAAATGATGCCAAGTCCCACAGGATCTTTTTTTTTCCCCTGCATTTTTCTCCAAGTTGTAGTTCTACAACTCTAACAATTATCCAAATGGATAACGGGAAAAAAGATAAAGTGGTGATCTCATTGTATTATCAGAGGTGTCAGGGGAGAAATGGGAAGACCGCTTTGTCATTTTCTGAGAGATTGTTTTAGTGAGCAATGAAAAATTATTTCAGACTTCCCTTTTTCATTGTGATATGTGACTGAAATCTGAAACTTCATCTTGAACATCAAGTAAACACCAAGCATCATCTTTACATCTCTCTAATCTTTTAACTAAGACTGTGGTGGAGGTACCTGAATAAAATAAGCACCAAATTGGACACTCAGGATTTGTCATAAGCCTGCAACTGACTGATTTAATCTAATTTAAACCCCTCAAATCCATCCAAAAGCATTTTCACAAAGCTCCTCCTCTTTGCCAATGTTTCAAGATTGTGTTTTCTGTTTGTGGTAAAGACACATTATTTTTCCAGGTTCAAATCTTTAAAGGAAAATGAATCCATTTTCACATACCATATTTACCTTTGTTGAATTAAAACTTTCCAGAACATCTCAAAGTCCTCTTATATCAATTCTCTTCCAACAACACTTCGTGGAAAGCGAGATTGCTCCAGTCCTCAGAAACCCACAACCTTCTCTCAGGCCACCTCAAACCTCAGCTAATAAACACTCAGACTTTGCCTAACACTTCCACTGGCTCCAGTTCAGAAGTAAAGTTGTTTTCCTTCCCCCTTCTTATCATCCAAGTCTACAATGATGTCCATTATAGAACTTTATAGCTTTTAAAGTGATGAAGTGACAACAAAGAGTATGTTGGGAGAGACTGACAAATTTATCAGCAACAGATGAATGAAGAACGATGCGAATTTTTTTAGTTTTCCTTTTATTACAGCTGTCACTTGGTGAGACATCCTGCCCATGCTTTGAGCTGTACATACTTGTGGAAGATCTCTGCTGATAAGCACATACTTTTTATTTACTCAGTGAACTTAATCTTACTTGTTGACTTTTACATTCCTGATTTCTCCTGACACATGACTGAGAAATTCAACAACAACGGTGAAGTAGCACTGAGGCTCTAGTAACAACCATCATGCTCTGAAAAACAAGGCACTGGGTTTTCTTTTGCCTCTACAGTCACTAAAGACTGCAAGAGAAATCTCTTTTCCCCAAAATACTGAGCTTTCTTGTGCTGCTCTGCTGTGTCAGAGTCTTAATGCCAGTGTGACTACAAACCCACTTCCTTTTAGTCAGAAGGGAACAATCACAACCATCAGTATTACTGAACTTAAGATACACTCAGAAATATTTGCCATGTAGTTTTAAAATCCTGATGGAAAGACAATTGAAATTACGAAACTGCCTTTTGCCACTATTTTTCATCCATTTATACTCCTAAACCAAGGTCTGGCCCAACTGAAGGTGTTATGGAACAAGCAGTTGGATCTATAGACATTCCAATACTTTTCTAAATCCACCTCCTAGCCCTAAACTTTTCAATAGTGTTTATTTAATGGAGAAATTAGCGAGCCACCTCTAAGCAAATATCCACTGAATGAAGGCCTTTGTCTTCTCTTACCTTCCTGCCACTGCTCTATTTTGGACAACTCATCTTTTTTTTTTTTTTAAACTTTTCAACTCCTACCTTTTGGCTTCACAGTTCCCTTCTTTCTTGCTTCAAGTCTGAAAAGAAGCTGCCAATATATACTGGGTTTCCTGTTGTTCCAGAGGTATCTTCCCTCCACACCTCTCTTGGATTGCTGCAATTTTTTTCCTCCTCTAATATTATTCAAAAAGCTGCACAGCACAATAGTTTATAACAAGAGTTCATTTTTGTATAAGAGATTTTATATATTTTTATCCACTTCAGTCTTTAAGCAATTTCTCATATTACCTTGTAAATTCTCTAAAGTTTCTTGCCAAGTTGAGCAAGAACTCTAATAAAATCAGGTGAATAACACCTGTAAATACATACAATAAAACTCTGATTCATTTATATTCCAGCCTATCAAAGGACTGTGCACAAAGCTACCAAATAGCAATAATTCAACTTCTTTGTAATCCATTAGGAACATAAATCAATCCATGGTGATTAATTCTAATGACTGAATAGCACATAACACTTTCTAACTCTTGGAGTTCACAGACTCATTAATTACTTACTAGCTACAGAACATTATGTATATTCAATTTATATTTGCAAAACCCAGGACACTCTGCAAAAGACATGATGGGGCAGGAAGAAAACACGTAAAAGAGAAACCATCCAAAAATGTCAGGTTTTCTTAGCTGAGGACACATACAGACTGTGCAGGCACAGCAAGTCTCAGCCAATGCACTCCTTGAAACAGGAGAAGGGCAAAAAATCTGCCTCAGCAAATTTTAGGCACCTCTAGGTTAGTTATGTTTAGTAGTTTTCCATTTTAAACTTTATTTAACATAGAGTCCAAAAAAAAGAGATTAGAGTTGCACCCTGAAGGACTTTCAGATTTCTGATAATGCACAATCCCGACCTATTAAACAACAAAAAGTTCCATCTGTATCAATGAGAAGTTGAGTATTTATTACAGTGCACACTGACAGACCCACATTAAACCACAAGTTATGAGCTTAATGTAGAAATTGCTGAGAGTAACTCTATAGCTGTGTTATTCAGGAGGCAAGACTAGATTATGATAATAGACATTTTGGCCTTAGAATTTATGAAGTTATGAATATAAATAAGAATACAATTTACAAACCAGGCTTTTTTCTGAAGCTTGTCACACATGGATGGCAGGAGTGGAAACTCAATGCCTTCACTCACCAAGAATCCAAGAGAGGGCCAAAAGGCTACATGAAAACTCTTATCTCGATATTTTAACAAATTATACTGACTGCTTAGTTCATTAAAACAGTCTGTGTATGTAAAGCTGAGAACTTGCTTTTACCTATACTGGGTATTTTTTGACATAAGTGCTGCAACGCTCCAATGAAAAAGCAGAGAAAAGCAATCAAGCCAGTGAGCCTCCATTTCCTAAGCTCTAATCAATGATTAAATGTTGTTTTAAGTCTCTTACAGCTTTGTTGGATTCCTCATCAGTCAAACTTTTCATGACAACTTCCAAACTTGGGTCTTCATCACCACTTGCAGGTCCAGTGCCACCATGATCCTGGGGGAAAGGATTGACAAGAGTTTTTAAACAGATGTATGAAGAGGCCTCCTCGATATCTCTGTTTCATACTCAGCACATTACAGGAAGCCTAGTTTGAACAGGTTGGTAGAATCATGGAATGGTTTGGGTTGGAAGATCATTCCGTTCCATCCCCTGCCATGGGCAGGGACACCTTCCACTATCCCACTAGGTTGCTCCAAGCCCCGTTCAACTCGGTCTTGGACACCTTCAGGGATGGGCCAGCCACAGTTTCTCTGGGCAACCTGTGCCAGAGCCTCACCACCCTCCATTTCTTCCCAATATCCCATCTAAACCTGCCTAGTCTAAAGTATCACTAATTCAGTTACATGTAAAATTTAACATGCTGATTCTCATTCCCTTTTTTAAACCAAGCAGGTCCCGAATTTGGAAAGATTTTTATCTATTAGTTTGATTTACTTAATTTTAAAATAATTGATCCAAATTTGGAGCTGTTCTCTCTTGCAAAGAAAAATGAACTATCTGCAAAAAATAAATTTTCAATACCTTCAGTCATAGAAACAAAATTATTTCTGAATTTTCATTAGACATTTTACATTGAAGTGCATAAGATGAATATTAAGAGATCAGATGAAGATAAAGAGATAAGACGAAGGAAACTAACACAATAATAGATGGTAACTATGGCACCCTGATATTCCATTACACCAGCCAGGCTATTTAATGTGATCTGACAAGCTACACGCAGGGTGCACATAAGACACAATGTTAAATATTTATTCGGTTATTTCAAAGACATTTGAAGATATAATTTCAGGATATAAGGCTTTTTTTCTTTATTTAAAGACAGGAAGAGCTGCCAAAGGAAAGCAATGCATACTTCTGTACAACATCACTATTTTTGGTTACATTTATTTTAGATAATAAAAAAAATACTAGCTATAAGTAAAAACCTGCATTTACTTATAAAACAAACATAATGTAAATAGTAAGAGCTTGCCATTAATGCATGAAACTCAACCCACAAGCATCTCCCTCTAAAGACAAACACAACACAGGCTTTGGTAGAGTCTAATTACAGTTATTTGACCACAGCACAGAATGTGCCTAAACAAAGTTTCCTGCTTCATCCTGAAGACACAAATATTAAAAAAAGCTGGGAACAAATGCAGGTATTAAAGAGTCAATAAAAATAAAACAAACTCTGTAAACTGTAATTTGCAATGTACCAGTTGCACACGGGACATGCTGCTGGGATGAAGGTGAGAACGAGAAGCCAAAGCATGTCCAAATATTACTCAGATACAAATAAAATCTAAACAGTTCTTGCACTGTACAGCACTAGGCCTGCATGGAACAGCCATCAGTGGTAAAATAACCTGGAATGCAACAGCAAGCAAGGAGATGCAAACAGGAGATGCATCCAGCATTACCTCACATGGACCTGTGCTGAGGGATCACAATGATGCTCATGGAAATACCAGGAGTTCAATGCACATGAATTTCATCAAGGCAAGACCAAACCTCAATTTAATTATAAAGCATCTTTTGCTTTATTAGCTCTAACAGAAATAGAATTAAAAAGCAACAGCAAGGCTAAGCATGTAGTTTATCTAGAAAATTTAGTTACGCCACATTGAGATGTCAAAATAATAACAGTGTGGTGACCCTGCAGGGATTCACGGTGCTCAGGAAAGAAATCAGTCTGCACTGGGCCTGAGGCAGCAACTCTACTGATGGAAAACACTGGTAACATTACTAAACTAAGATAGTTTTTGCATTGGAAGGTTGTTCTAGGCAAAAGTTCCTCACCACGACTACTCTAACCAGCTGAAAAAGGAGCAGGTTAGGAGATGCAAGGTTTTAGTTTGAAGCCTACACTTCCTCCTGTACAGCAATAACATCTTTAATACCTGCTGCTAATGCCTTTCAGTAACACTGAGATCAATAAAAAAGAGACGGGGAAAATAAGCCTATTAGGTCAAGTCTCTACCCAACGCATTTTATGATTCAGGGTTTAATTAGACAAGGTGCTCGAACTTATCATGAGCTGCTAATTATGATTAATCTATCTAATTTAGCAATCTCTAATTAAAAATAACAACCCACAAACCTTACCTCAATGGAAGAATGGGAGCCTGAAGGTAATGGGAAGGGAGTAACAGCCATCTGATTGACTGCATCTTCACTCCTGTACAACAAAGAACATGTTACACACCAAACCATCATGGACAAACTTTCCTTTTGAGTTGGTTCTGCCCATCAAGAAATTACTCTCAGTAGCACAAAAATTCACTGTTGCCTACCAGAGTTAAAGCTTAGAAAAGCACTTCATTTTGGCTCTTCTTTGCTTGCAAACAGATCACATCCCTTCTTGGGACCACAGTAGTTTCATCTGGGGCGTGCTGACATCACATCCTTTGGAAATCTGATTTTGTGTGGATTAGCAGAGGATGCAGTTGGAGTTTATGGTCCCTACACATCAGCAGATGTGCTAACACTTCGTTAGCCTCTTCTAATAGTGTCCATGTCAGTAAGCTGCTTGTTTATAGTCTCACATCCACATTACTGAAATACAATATCTGTTGTAACGTATTAGATTGCGTTTTCTTTTTTTTTTGTTGTTCCTTTTGTGGTATTTTCTAAAAGATTTAATGTAAAAACTTGGAATAAATGTTATGAAATGCAGGGATAAGAGGAGATGAACACTGATTCTCCCTGCATTATTTTCACCAAGATGCTTATGATGTATGGCATCTTTTCCTCTCTCCTCTTTAAAATGCTTCTGAAGTTGACATCTGATTACTTCGTGACTTCCAAAAGCCTATTTTTTTTTTCATTAAACAGTATTCTGCCTTGCTAATGTTTTTCCTCAACTGCCATTTAAAATGATGGGGTTTGTGGAATTAGCTCTGCATTTTTTTGGCCTCTGTAAAATGAAACCAAGTAATACATGATTTCAGTGATAACATCTAAGGCAAATCATCATAGAACCATAGAATGGTTTGGGTAGGAAGGGACTTTAAGGCTCATCTCATCACAATCCCCTGCCATGGGCAGAGACACCTTCCACTATCCCAGGTGGTTCCAAGCCCCATCCAACCTGGCCTTTTAGACACTTCCAGGGATGGGGCAGCCACAGTTTCTCTGGGCAACCTGTGCCAGGGTCTCACCACCCTCACAAGGAAGAATTTCTTCCATATCCGATTGACATCTGCCCTTATTCAGTTTCAAGCCATTTCCTCTCATCCCATCACTTCATGCCTTTGTGAACAGTCCCTCTCCAACCTTTTTGCAGGTCTCCTTTTTAGGAGGAATCAGCAATATTGCTGCTTCACAGCTTCTCAGATGAAAGGAAATGACTTTTCATGCAGTGAGTCTTCTGGGTTTGATTTCTGGTCCTGTTTACTACATTCCATGGCACTGTGACACAAGCAAGATTTTTCCTCTTTAATTTCTAGAATAAGTTATTAGACTAAAATGTGCTTAAAAACGTTTTACAGAAGTGCCTGAAAGAAAAAAGTCTTATTTTATCCCTTGAGAGTTAAACACATGAAGCTAAAACACATGAAGTTAATAAACAGAAGCATGTTCTGATCACTGAGAAATAACACTGTGAATCAATAGCTCTCAGCACAGCAGCAAATGGGAGTCACAGGCATTTGAAATGATAAATCCTGCAGGCAAAGGCTGGTGAATTCATTTACTTATCTTCAACCAAACAGCCATACGATTCAAAGGGACTGGTTGGGTGCTGCTCATTTCTGTACTCGCTCCCAGCCTCTCCTCTTGGCCCTGCTCAAAGCCTTGCAAGAGTGGGAAACCACGCTCAGATCACGGCGCGGTTCGTGATGCAGAGACATGGGGCCAAGACACACATCTGAGGCAGGCACAGAACCAAGCCCAGGAATTTCATCAGCATTTCACAATTTCCAAGTGCATTTTCCCCCGCCAGGCATATTGGGCAAGGACATTCTCCCTCCTCTTATCTTCGTGAGACATCGATCTCATTATGTTGCTTTTCTAACCTACAAGAATAAACCATCCCATGCGAGGTGTCGGAGCCCTCCCAATTTTTCTTTGACTGTAGAGTTTTTTCTGATAATAGTTTATATAAAGCACAATCAGCATGAAAACTAACCCCACTCTGTAGCTCACAATTAGACTTAAACAAGAAAATAACAAAGTATGTATAAATCTTTGTAGGAAATACTCTAAAAATTGCTACACAGAAGCTCCTGACAAACTGGGATGTAATTAATTATCCAAACTAGTTTTGACTTCATATAGACACACTTTTTTTTTTTTCTATCAGTGGGAAAATATCTTTATGCAGCTTTAAATGGATGGCCATTTTTATTTCAAGCAATAAAAACCCACTTACAGTAATTCCCTGGGAAAAAAAGGAAAAAATATAAAACCCCCCAAGGTTACACAGTGTCACAACTTGTAATCTCCCCCTGCTAGGACTCGTACATATTTAAATACTTTAATGCTGCTTCAAAGGAGAATGCTTCAAAGCAGAATCAAAGTGAGAACATATTTTAAAGTGACAGATCTAATAATAAATTGCTGTTTCTGCTCTCCACTTCCATAAGTGTCCTCAACTAAAATGTGAATTTATTTACAACTAAAAGGAGTAATCATCTTCTTTTGAGGCAGGAGCAGACAGCTTAGAAGTCTGAACATCATATTCAAATTACAGTGACTGCAAATGAGAATTCAATGTATTTGCCAATAGTTGCTCCATAACCACCTCCAAAAAAGCTGTTCTCAGTTACCAGTGCTCACTATTGCTTGGGGTTAAGGTGTCTAAACCCTTCACAGTCAAGACACAGCTTCATAGTCTCAAGTCAAAGCAACATAAATGAAATTTATACAGCACGAAGGCTTAGGGTGTTCCCCCTTCATTATCTGCAAAAATTACAAACATTCATGGCTCTTATTCCAGCTCCTAGACTGGTTGGTATCTGATACTGGGATAGGAGCCCACCTCCTGGGTGGGTACCAGAGAGCTGTTTAAATTTCTTTGGGACCACATAAACTGAGTAGGAAAGGAATTCATCACTCCTCCCACAAATTCCAGGGCAGGGACACCTTCCACTAGACCAGGTTGCTCAAAGCCCCATCCAACCAGAGATGGGGAGCCCAAAATCTCTCTGGGCAACCTGTTCCAGTGCCTCATGACCCTTCTAGCAAAGAATTCCTTCCTAATATCTAATCTGAATCTTCCCTCCTTCAGCTAAAGGCCATTCCTCCTTGTCCTGTCACTGCTGCCCTTGTAAAAATTTTCTGGTTTCCATTTTACTTACTCTTACATCCCTCAGGTTTGTGGTGGTACAAGCTCATTGTCATGCAATGCCAAGAAAATCCTTGTTTAATGTGGATGAGATTCCTTGCCTGTCTAAAGCAGAGCACCTCACCTACAAGTCTAAACTTCTATGATCAGTACAAAACCCAAGCCAAATCCTAAACCAGAGCCACTCAAAAGGGCAATCCCAGCACCTAAATGACTTAATTTAGGACAGGATGAATAGAATTGCTCTTTGGGGGCTCCTGACAACTGCTGACTAATCACAGAAGTCCAGATGTCCTCTAGTTGTCTAAACTAAGGGACACAATTCTCCTGCCAAACTATCTGCAACTACACAGTTCATGAACACTAAGAGATCATTTGACAACAGCTTTGTAAGTGGTTGTGGATGTTTCTTGGGAATAAAAGGTACATGAAGAATCAGAATAAAAACTCTTGTATGAAGTGATATGACATCTTACTGGAACAGATCTGTGGACGATGGGAATAAACATTTGCTCTGTAAGCCTTAGAACTCCCACTACTTGTGACACCAGGACATAAAGTCCTGCAAATTACTAAAAACATATACTGTCCACATCCTGCTTGTTAATTAAAAAAAAAAATCCGGGCAGGATCTTGCATTTTCTCATCTTTGTTTTCCCTCTAGAAGTTCCTTTGGAAAAGAGGAGCTGCAGGAAAGCTGCACACTGAGAAGCCACACTGGATTATTCCTTCAGCTGGGTCAAAAAGACCTTTGTGTTATGCATCTTCTCAAAAAAATTCTCCTATTAGCAGCAAGAACAGTCTTGTTCTCCATTTCCTCTCCATCCACTCCTAACTACATGAGAGCCAAATGCATCCAGGTATTTTAAATGAACAACTAATGTACATATAAACTATAGCTTAGGTCTTCAAAGGTTTGAAAGAGCCCAAATTACTTAACTTCCTCAACTGTGTGCTTGTTCCCACATGTGTATGACAGCAAGGAGGAAACAGTTCTGAAGAAAGCAGGAAATGTTCAAACTTGCACACACAGTGCCTGGCAAGGGCTTACTTTTTAAGCTTTCCCACATGAAAGAACCTAAGCAATCAAAGCAAGTAAAAACAGAGTTTATACTATTAAAATATGGTCAATTATCACAAAATATTCTGACTTGGAAGGGACCCACAAGGCTCACTGAGTCTAACTCTTAAGTGCATGGCCCACACGGGGTTATGTAGGTTAGAACAAACAAGAAATTATTATCTGAAGTATGACAGCATTTGAGATTGGTACATAACATAAAATGTTACTTATGGAAGTTTTAAAAGAAGAGCAAAGACCAGTGACAAAGTCACAGCAATGGGGACTGTTAAACAGCCAACCCAGACACTGTCTTGGCTTTCCCAGTCCTTGGAGTAGAAGGATCTCTCTCCTTTGCATGCCACCATAAATAACAGAATAGTCTTTAGAATTACACCTGGAAATGGAAGGAGGGGTTGGGTGACAGAGATTTGTGGGCTTCATCAAGGAGCTACAATCCCATCAGCAGGAAGCAAAGATAACAGAACGATGACTGCAGTGTGGGAGGGCTCTGGACAGCAAACAGATGGTATTTAAATCAGCGAAATCCCTTACTCTGAAAGCACTTCTCATGTTTCATCACAGCACAAGACAATTTTCTTTTGAAGAATAAAGGTAGACCAAAGAATGACTCACAAAACTGAACACAATGGGAGGATGGTTTGAAATCAGTGGCATTCACTTTGATTCAAGCATTCAACTATATTTGATCTGCTTATTATACCAACAGTGAAGTACTAAACCAGATTAAAGACAGTTAATTGAGCATGGAAAAAACCACTGAATTTGCTGAATCATAAAATTCTCCCTGTAAAAGAGCATTCTGATATAAACTGGATTTCCTACTACAGATGTAAAATCTAATTATATTGTTTTATTATGCATCTTACAAGGATGGACTTACAATGCATGAACAAAAACCACAACGGATAGAAACACTTTCTATTTTGGGAACTAGGGCACAGACACTCCTACAAGAAGCATGTCCATTTCTGATACTATTACCTGGCTAATTCCTGTTGGAGATTTAGACCAACAATTTCAAAAGGTAACTAAGACATTACAACACTTATTGCCACTATAGTGACACTATATATTGACACTGTAACTGCAAATCTTTTAGATGCTTTCAGAAGCTCGTGTAATTAATGAGACCACTGGGAAACAGGGCTGTGCTAAGACCTATATATTGGAATCTGGCCAAAATCAACTGTTTTAAATAATCATTATCAACTTAATTGAGGAAAAGATGCTCATAAACCAGAGTGAGAAGCCTTCAAATATAGGGGGACATCTGTGATTCTCACAACAGTTACCGCACTATGTCTCATCAGCAAAAATTTAAGGAAAGGGTGGGAATGCAATTGTAACACTACCTGAATATAAAAAAGTGTGAACAGATTTTTATAGCACAAATGGCAACTCAGTAACTTAGTAAGAAGTCAAAAAGGCTGAGGTCACCTTATATTCTTTATCTTTTTCTAGAAAAAAAATAAATTTGGGGTTGGAACGAGGCGATCTTTAAGGTCCCTTCCAACCCAAACCATTCTGTGATTCTCTTAAGTTATTTAATGATAGTTATTACAGTTCTCACAGAAAGGCTTTTCTGTGCCCAGGAATTTCTGGGCTTCTTTCACAACTGATTAAAGAGTTTATGGAAACATCTCCCTGCCCTGCACATGAACCGAAACAGCAGGAATAAAAAAACCTTGATGCTGTTTCCTGCTTCAAAGTGAAAAGCACCACACTTATCGCTGAGCATCCTTCATCTCAGGAAAATAAGGCCTCAGGGTGTCAAAGAGGGCACTTGGAACAGACCAAGAGTTTCACCAGTTTGGCTTTTATGTCCTAGGTCAGCTCGGTCAGGCACGCAGGAACCTTTCAGGTTGCAGACTGACGTATTTCTGAAAAACTGTAATCTATTCAGGTCTTTCACTGGTGAAACTGAAATATTAATATCTTCATGCACATGAAGAGCAAATTGATTTCTCTCACAACTTCTGCAGTACATGTTATTTTGCTATGGTGAGCTGTGGCCTCTTCATGCTCCAGGATGTGTTTCGGCTGTGTTACTCTACACACCTTCTACCTTTAGGAGAAGCTTCAGGGATGACAGCGCTCAGGAGGAGGAAAGCAGTAGTATTTCTGTTGCAACTGGCTCCATCATTTTCAAAGCATGATAGATGTAATGGTATCCCGCTCTTTCCACATCATTAGAGCCCAGAGGAACATATCTGAAACCAGCCAAGCAGCAAAACCTACCAGGAGAGCTCAGCCTGCTACACTCAGCACTTTGTTTGCAGCTGGGAAAGCCATTGAAGGCATGTGCAGATTCAAGATGCCTCTTGCTGCTCTTATTTACTCCAGCTGGCACCACATTGTGTTAAGTAATGGCATTTCGATATCCCCATTTTATATTATAGTTGATAAAGCCAAAACCCCCACTTTTTCCACTGAACTGTGCCACGGATAAGACTCCTGGGACTGCCACAGCCCATGTTTTCACTCAATAACATCCACTGTTTTTGTGGTCTAAGGTGTAGGAATGGGAAGCACCAAGATAGACTCAGCTCATGGAATATAGTTTGCATGAGAAAAGAAAATTATTTTTGTTTCTCCTTAAAATTCACTTTTAAGAGAGACAGTCTATCCCGGCTTTGTTAACATTTGACCATACATCAAAAAACAAGGCAACATCAGTTTTCTCCCCATGTTAGAGGCAGTGCTCCAGTTACAAATGACATCCTCTCAGTGGGAGAATTCCTTTTCATTGCTGTTCTCTGGGTTGAGCAAACTGACACATCAGTTGTCAGTGTAAGGCCAAGAGCAGTGACAAGATGTGTGTGCTCTTGGGAAGTGTGAAGATAGAAGTTTACAACATCAGCAGCAGCACTTAAAAGTTGAAATCAGGTGGGTTTTTTTTAAACTCTACCGATGGAAACGAGAATCACCCAATGGTATTTCCAATATCTATTTCTAATATCTCTTGAACATCATCAAGATAAAATTTTGCCTTGAAATTCACTGCTACACAGACAATCTGAAAAGGAGAATTATAGCTAAGAATTTACATGGTTTTATGTAAAACATGCACTGAGGATTTTCAATCCATGGCAAGTGGAGCTAACATGGACCCTTCCCTGGAGTTCTGCAGTGCTTGGAGCGGCAGGGCAGGCTGCAAGAAGCCCACACTCTTGCGTTTTGGTTTCATAAGTTGTGGTTTTGCCTCTGGAACTTCCAACCAGACACATGTTCCACATGCAATTAAATAATGGTGAGTGAGTTGTGGTACGTGACGTTTAATTTTCAATGGCTGGGGAAAGTAACACAGGAGCTGCAGGTAAGATCATTAATCTCCTCCACGTCCTCGAGCTGCCAAGGATAGCAACTCATTCCTCACTGTGCTAATGTTGCTCTTCCATCATTTTTGTGTATGCTGTACCAGGCAGAGCCATGCCAGTAAATGTACACATTTACATGCATTCACCCACAGATTATTACATTGTTCATAGGGAATATGCGGATGAGCAGAGAATATAAAACAATATCAAGTATGATGTATATGTTAGTGAGAAGATCACATTATAAAATGGCATGGGTGTAAGTGCCCAACAAAAGTCACAGCTGGAATTTATTCTTAAATACACATTTATGAAATTCCAGTGTATTAAAGCATATGTGAGTCCTGGGAAAGAGGCAGCTTCTTCCCAGACCTCCTGCCCAGGGTCATAAGAGCAACACTTCCTGAACTTCTGAGTGAATGTGTGCAGGTGTCTTTAATTCACATACAAAGAGGAAAAATTTTCATGCTTGGAGCAAAATAAAAATGCCCGCATGTAATTCTTATGCAGATGAAAGGCTGTTTTAGCATATTCCCTCCCACACAATCCATCCCAGTGCTCCTTGGCAAAGTCAGGCTTTGCCTCTGTACAAACAAGTCAAAGCTCAATTTTAAAATCCTCTTTTGATGCCCACACAAAGGTATCCTTCACACTTCCACCCAGTCCGTGCTCCAAGTGCTCCATCCACACTTTCCTGTTCCTTTCCCAGGAGCCCCAAGCCTCTGAACCATTTTCACTCCCCCCTGCAAGTCTGAGTGAGCAAACTGCCCACCTCAACTTTATCCTGAACCAACCTAAAGCACTTTAGGTTGGAAGAAGTAGCTCTCATCAGGGTGCTCCAAAGCCCAAGAGGAACAGCTCAAGTCTTCAGCAGACACCCCTAAAATCAGCATTCAGTGACATTAGATTCATATTTTTTACATTACTAAGGAGAATTCTTCAATTTTTCCAAGAAGAACAGTCAAGAAAAAGGTTTATTCCACTTCAAAGAGAACTGAGCAAGTTCAGCAATTTCAAAACAGGCTAAATATGTAAATATGTCATGTAATAGACTAAAGTGCAACAAATGTTTTGATGAGAACTGTTCTTACCGTATGAAAACCAGCTTGACCTTTGATGGGGCAGTTTTAATGATTGCAGAAGCATTCTGGTGACTTCTTCCATACAATATCTGATTGTTTATCTGTTAAAAGAAAACGGTTTTCACATAAGTGGAGAAGTACACCTTGTTTTAATTTATACAACCAAGACTTCCAAGTGTACTGTGGGAAAAGGAGATAAGGCTCAAAGAAAGTGTGGTCTGTAAAGTCTAGACCTATACAAAACAGGAAGCAATGCAGAGCTAATTTACTGTTATTAGTAAGCCACAAATGAGAGACATCTTTTTTTTTTTTTTTTTTCACAAATCCCTAGAATGGATTTTAAGGACTGCTCCTAGATTTTTTGAAAACAACTTGATCTGAGAAGAATCAGATAGATGACAACAGCACAGATGCTTAGACAGACACTCCTATACTTTACCTGCAGGTTACTGGACATTTAGGAAAACTGGCTATTAAGATTGTGCTGACTCCTCAGCTCTGCTGAAGGAAACAGAACTGACAGTCATGGAGACGAAGGACAGTTTAAGGACACGCCACATCACTTTTGCTATGATGGATCTAACACTTAAAGCACAGCAACAGACACTACTTTGGACACTCTTGCTGTGTGCAAGCCACTGCTGTTTTCAGAGGGAAACAGCCTGGCTATGGACATGAGCCAGGTGTGCCCAGGTGGGCAAGAGGGCCGATGACACCTGGATTGTGTCAGCAATTGTGTGGCCGTAGGACCAGGGCAGTGCCCATCCCCCTGTGCTGGGCACTGTGAGGCCACACCTCGAAACCTGGGGACACTTCTGGGGTCCCCAGTCCAAGAGGGACATTGAGGGGCTGGGGTGTGCCGAGGGAAGGGAACAGAGCTGGAGATGGGTCTGGAGCACCAGGAGTGGCTGAGGGAGGTAGGAGGGCTCAGCCTGGAGAAAAGAAGGCTCGAGGGGACCTTCTCACTCTCTGCAACTCTCTGACAGGAGGGTGGAGCCAGGTGGGGTTGGGCTCTGTTCCCAGGGAACAAGGGACAGGATGAGAGGAAACAGCCTCAGGCTGTGCCAGAGGAGGTGTAGGTTGGTTATTAGGGAAAATTTCTTCATGGAAAGGATTGTCCAGCACTGGCACAGCTGCCCAAGGCAGTAGTGGAGCCTCCATCCCTGGAGGGATTTAAAAGCCACATGGATGTGGCACTTGGGGACACGGGTTAGTGGTGGCCTTGGCAGTGCTGGGGGAATGGTTGGACTCGATGATCTTAAAGGACTTTTCCAACCTAAACAATTCTATGATTCAATACTGCAGTTTTTTCCTCCCACTCTTAATTTACAACATAATATTTACATTCACATTTGATATACCAATGCTGTTTAAAACAATAATGATAACGGAGCCCAGGAACAATTTACTAGTGATTATAGAAGGAATTTTTGTTACTGCAAATGTTTGTATTGGATTCAGGGTTTGTGGTCTTAGAAGATTTTTTTCATTCAGACAAGAAGTAACTGGCCAAATCTTCCAGCCTTGTGTGATACGGGCTCGTCGGTCATGTTGGGAACTTCACAATACTTCCATCTTATTTTCAGTGGGTCAAAACAAGATGTAAGTTCATCAGTTAAATAAGGACAATGCCAGGACAAGAATAAAACCCCTAACACTCGATTGGTCATTGGGATTGAAGTGCAAAGCATCTACCTACCGAATCATTTACTGGGTAAAGAGAGACCCAAGAAGGGTCCACAAAGGCCTGAGCTGGCATGAAATGATCAGCACTGAGGAAATAACATCATGTCAACATTCCTAATGGTTAAATATGGTTTTGTCTGCAACTGCCATGGTGGCAAAGATAGGGCGAAAAGCAACATCCTAGGCCAGACTTTGCTAATCAAAGATAAGCTTAAAAATCCAGGGGCAAAAATAAATGCTCAGTTGCATTCTGGCTTCAAGTTCAACTTGAAACTTTCAGTGAGTTTGTTGACTTAATTTCTCTAAGCTCAAGAATAATTTATTCACTAGGAATAGTGTATGCTTTACAAATTGTTTGGATTTAGTTAAATTACCATCAATTCTTCTAAACAGCAGACTTCTTAGATTAAAATTTATAGTCTTTACTCTGGCTAAATTAATCCTATTCACTACATGTATCAAATAGTCCAAAATTTAATTAGCTGTGAGCTGGGTCTGTAAGTTATAATTATTTAATTACACCAAAATGAAAGCATAATCAAAGTAATATATCTCCACAAGGCTATGGGCTGTCCCACATAGTTATTACAGCCAGTATTAATTTTTTTTTTAAAAGTGTCACTTTCATTTGCAAAATAAATTCATGCTGTAGATACCACAATGATGAGCAAAGCGCAAAAGCCTACTTAAATAAAACAAAAAAGAGAACGTCTAGGATTTCAGAAGAAACACCATTTTAAATCTTTCAATTTAAATAAAGTAACACATCAGATTAAGCAAATAGTACTTTGGGAGTCAAAATGTATAAATCTGTGCTTTACTTTTTTCATTAGAGATTAGAAAAGAAAAACAAAGCCTCAACTAAGCAAAAGAAATAAACTGATCTAAATCAACCTCAACTCTTCTTTAAATGTCTCTTTCTATAACCCCTTGGAAAGTCAGCAGAGCACAGAGAAAGATAAAAACATGCTACAGGTATGAGGTCAGGTCAGCACACAAGTTCAATCTTTAATATAATCACACATTGCTTTATGGCAGATTTAATCACATATCCTAACTGTACTGTTGCCTTCACCTACAAAAGTTTTGGTTTACAGTTTCATGCACTGAGGTAGCAGAAAGTACAAACTCACGGAAATCTGAGCTCTTAAATTCAGAGGAAAAAATTTAAAGGATTGTTTGCTTCTCAAACTTTAATTTGCAGAAGAGAAACATTAGATATGGATATTAAAAAAAAACACCAAAACCCCACAGTGTTTTCACTACGTGGCAGTAATGGAAATCCATAAAATTAGTATCATCTGATTTTTATGAAAATGAAGTTAAATGATACCCCAAAGCTAGTAAAATACTGGCATAGTTTTCTGTAAAAATTATTTCTTTGTACCCGTGCAGGAGGTTCCTTCTAACCACAGGAATTGTAGCATTTTGAGATACAACCAGACTCTCTGAAACAATGGAAAAAGTTTCCAGAACTTTTTTATCAGTCAAATTTTATATATTGAAACCCCATTAAATAGACCAAGCTCCCAAATAATAAAGCATGAGGAAAATATTGGAGAGAAAAAAGTAATTAGAATGTGAATTTCCCTTTCCTCACCAAATTTCTTGCTGGGCACACATTCAAACATGTGCATCATCTAAAGTGATCAACAGACCGTAAACTCCATAAGGAGAGAAAACATCCTGCTCTGAGCTGGCAGCTCATCCCCGTGGCTTCCCACCTACAGAGTGTGGAGAGAGAGACAGGACGTTGGAAAACCTGTGCCCTCCTCCACAACAGCTTTTCCATCACAGCCTTACCTATTTGCAGCTTTAAAATCACCACTTAAAACTAACCTTAACTGTATACAAAGTATTTTTACCCTCCTTTGAAAAAAACTAAAAGGACATTGGCACAGGTTGCCCAGAGAAACTGTGGATGCCCCATCCCTGGAAGTGTCCAAGGCCAGGTTGGATGGGGCCTGGAGCAACCTGGTCTAGTGGAAAGTGTCCCTGCCCAGGGCAGGGGGTAGAACTGGGTGAGCTTTAAGGTTCCTTCCAACCCAAACCATTCTGTGATTCTATTCTGTGATTCTATAGTGATCCCACAACAAATAAACTGAGAATAAAACACATTTTATGAAACATAAGTGGCATTGTGAATTTGGCTGGGGAACTAATTTACTTGGGCAATATATTGTTGTATCTATTATATTATTACAGCACAACTTCAATTTATCTAAGCATCTTAAAATAGCAATAAAAATGCACTTAGCACAAAAGCTCTCTGGCTTTGAGCTATGACAAAAATGACACAAAAAAATAAAAAGTAATAATTGCCTCTCAGGTAACAGTCCAGAATGGACAACAGGCAAACTCTGTGGTCACTCTTGACTCTGAAGACTGGCTTTTACTCTTTCAAGAAGTGCTGTGGCCTCAGACAACAAAACAAAGAATCACAGAATGGGTTGTGTTGGAAGAGACAACCTGCCACAAGCAGGGAAACTTCCACATGCAAACAAGCAGTTTCCTTCCACCTCCTGCCTCATCTTCATCAAGATAAGCAAGGATGGGGAGATGGCAGCATATCCCAACATCAGTAATTTAGCATAACTGGGCTCTCAACAGCTTGGTTTATTAATAGAGCACAGTTGAGTCTCTTATGGAGAGATGATAATAATAATAATAATGATAATAGCAGGGTGGATTCTGCAGTGTGAATAAAACCTCCCAACAGGACAGAGCCATGCAGAGCTCAGGAGCAGCAGGGCTCAAAGCACAGGGACAGCTCCAGGTGAACACACTGCAGGCCATGCTGGGCACAATCACAAACAGGACTGAGCCCAGACTAATAAGACCTGAAGCAGTGCAGACACCTGCACTAAAACAGCAAGAGTGCGAGGCAGGGACACCACAGATGGTTCCTCTGCTTGGAAAAAGAAATGAAAAGCAGAACTTGTGCCCTGTAAAAAACACATTCTTCTGCACAGAGACCAAATCCTGACCCAAGTAGTTTTCCTCCACGTATGACAGCAGGATGAAAGGACCTTCTCTCTCTCAAAAATCTATTTTCTTCAGCCACATACCCATCCAAAATACATCACTGAATATGAAAATGATTAAAAAATAATGATTACATACAACTTTTTTATGTGATCTGCATTTCCCTCAATGTACAGGCTGTGAAAACAAGCCACGATCATGCCCCCAGAGGACTACTGTTGTTTGCAGAAGCTAAAAGTGAGATGATATTCCATTAATTCATTGACAAAAGATTTTATGAATAAGGTGCTGAGGCACATCCTTCAATTGAATCCAATCAAACTCCAGTTCAAAAGAAAAATGAACAGGTAATATCTATCCATCTCTAACTCCATCCCATTAACCTTAACTCCATCAAAACCCACAGAGAGTAGTCTGCACATAGTAGTAATGGAGCAAGACTAACCAACAGGATTCACTGGGGCACCCAAGGACAGTGCAGAGAAGCCAGAGGCTTCCCAAGATGTGAATCCCTTCTCTTGTTGATACGTTCCAATATTGAAAACTGATGTTTAATCACAGATGCAGATGCAAATATACCTAAAACATGCAGATAGATGAGAATCAAACATGAGTTCTGTCATTTCCTCACTTCTGAGCACCCGAGTTTGCAATTCATGCTCTTCTAACATACTTCGTTGTAAAAGACACTGCAAGTAAAGTCAGTTGACCACATTGACCTCTGCATCCCTGGCATGGAAGCAGCATGAATATTCAAAAGCCATCTGGATACAGTCTTGGGCAACTGGTTTGATGTGGCCCTGCTTGAACAAGGGAGTTGGACCAGATGACCTCAGGAATTGTTCTCCTGCCCACCAGCAACACACCTTTAATTTGATTGCAAAGGTAAACAAGACAGGCAGTTACTAAAGTCTCCTTGAACTTTTTATTTGAAGTTTGGCATTTTTGAGATGAAGAACCTCACTTTTCTTCCAGTGGAAAAAAAAAAATCAATCTTTTTATCTCCAGCTTAACGGGGAGAGGAATTAGAACAGCACCACCAATTTGGAAAATGCTCCTTATAACATGGCTCATCCATGCAAATCCCAAGCCTTGAGGGATATGTGATTAATCACAGATGGTGCATCTTTCAAGTACTGCTGGCACTACTTAACATTAGATCTTCTCTTCTACCAGGAACTACCAATGAAATGCACAGAGGAAATCAGAACTGTGGGTTCTTTCATCTGGTATGCACCCAAAACTCAACAATTTGCCTTTTTTTTTTACCATTAAAATTCAGTGTCAGGGATAGAAAAATATAAATTTGAAGGAGCAAGTAATTTTCCTACCCTACTCCATTATGGTATAGACCTTCACACCATTTCTCACACTTAAAATGAAAACAACAAATTTCAGATGGGGGTGTTTTTATAGCAAAACATCTTTCTGGTACTATGTGTATTGAAAACCCCTAATTGCAGAACTGTCAGACAACAACAAATGCTTAGCCAATTCTGAGTACTCCCAAGGTATCCCCAGGCAGTCAAACTGCTCTTTCTCAAGTCAAGAAAAGTGAAAAAATAGGTGGTTTTCTGATTGCAGAGAGCTGCTGAAAGATCAAAGCATCACCACCCACAGAGTACAGCAGGTCAGCATATCCCTGCTCTTCAGTGAGAGCTTCTCTCTCAGGGTAAGATCCCCAGGGATGGATGATTTTTTTAAACCACTGAAGCAATCATGACGCGGGGAATCACTGCAGGTACTGCAGCAAAGTGTCATTTTGCAACAGCCAAAAAATCAGATGAAGTGAAGGAAAGCTGTGCTTTCAGTCTGAAGGTGAAGGAAGGAGATTGGAGGAAAAGTGAAGACAAAATACTCCAGTTGCTAATGAGCTCTCTTGCCTTGTGGGTGAACTTGTGCCAGACACAACTAAAGAAAATAAGTATTTTAAACAGATTATAGCATGAAATTTATTTTCAGGATAGGGAATATCCCTGTCATCTGTAAAAACACATATGGTAACTTTGAGGGGTTTTGTTTTTTTTTTAATGTAAGGTGTGAATTTCCCTGTAAAACCACATATGCACTTCAAGGATGGATTTACTGTCCCCTTCTTGCCTTTCAACAGTCCCTCCCAACGCAGAGCTTGTGAACATGCTGAGAGCACAGACTTCGCTGACAAGACATTAGTTTTCACAGGCCAATGATTTTTGTTTCACTGAAAACACATTTACCTGCCAAAGGCCAAGTTCTCAGTTGGCATAAATCAGCACAGCTCCTTCCCTCAGCCACCTAATTCCACTTGCAGGCTTTATTTAAGGTTCAAATGATGGCTCCACATATGCCTCTCCCTCTCTCCTCATGAGCCTTGCTTAAGAGCTAAAGGAAACACTTACTTCTAGGAGCTCATCACCAATGTGCATCCTTCCATCTCGTCCCGCGGGTCCATCTGGATTGATCCCAACTACAAAGATGCTCATCCGGGAGCGGTCCTTGTTGCCAGCGAGGCTGAGTCCCAGCCCATTTTTGTCTTTCTCAAGCTCAATAATGTGCAACTCTCCTGGGAGATCTGCATATCTTTGCCTGATTTTTTCTAGGAAGGTCAAACATAAAATGAGTTAGAACACGAAATAACTTATACACAGATGTTCAAGAACACATACAAATATGCTAGAAATTTATGACTTCTCAGCAAACAGTGTTTTTAACAAAGGTCTTTTCAGCACAGACTCTAAAATACTGTTTGCTGTGTTTGTATCATTCATACAGCAAAATGCAGCATCAGCTGCAAATATTATTCACATTAAACCCACACTATTTTAATTATTTGTACAACAGCCTGCTTCTAAACCAAAAATTTTCTGTAAGGAGCATAAACAAGGAAATTCCAGAGGTACCTTTACTGCACAAACCCCATCAAATTCAGGAAACTCTCATAAAGTTCGAGCTGGTTAATTAACCACTGCGGGAAACTGAAGCACTTAATGGTTCCAACATTACTGCAGACTCATATCTCAAGGTAAAACCTTCTGCTTCTTTCTAGTGACTCAGGACTCTGCTCACCATGCTCTGCTTAACACGAGGTGCTGCTGCACGGGCGATTACGCAGAGCAGATGTCAGTGACAATGTAGATGAGTGATTATGCTTTTAAATGCAGCTTCACTTGATATTAAGGTGGTTATTTGTCTTTCATCTACATTTCAACCATCCCTGTGACAAGAGCTCAATGTATTTACAAAGTTGTTTGGAGCATGCTGCGTGGCTGTGGATGCTGACAGTTTAATCTGAATGTCTTTTCACCAACATCTATCACTGTTGCTGGTGAGGGTGATTTTTTTTTCTGCCTGCTTTTCCTTTACAGATTTTAAAGCCAGTTTAAAATATCCAATGCTTCAGATAGGCCACACATCTAAAAAAGCAAGTCAAAGGATATCGCTGTGACTGGATGTCACCTTTAGTACAGAGCCCAAGGTGAAAGAAACCTCTGCATTATGCATTAAAAGGAGAAATAAGGGATATTCTATGTTCAACCATATCCCTGAGTCAGCAGCAGGAGCTAGATCAATATTAGCTACTACCATCCTCCTGGGGAAGCATATTTTAATAGTACGATTTAACTACTGTAGTGAGTGTTCCCATGACAACAAGAAAGAGGGAAAAGAGCTGGGGAAGGTGAGAGGGAGGCAACTAAAAGTGAATAAAAACTGCTGAGAAGAAAGATGATAAAGTAGAAACGTTCCTTCCACATCCCCTGTGCTGTCAGGGTGATTTAGCCAAACTTGGGTCATTCCCAGCAGCTCTTCTCTCCAATGGTCCTTCCTGAGTAATTGTTCCAGCTGCAGCAGCCCCTTGTGCCTTGGCAGAGACCATTGGGACAAAGGCAGCAGCCTCCCATCTCCAACCCCAGGTGCATCCAAGAGCATTACCTGCTCTCAGAGCAACACACACAAGAACCAGCTCTCCCATCGTTGTATTTATAGGCTAGCATTTTCTGCCACATTCAAAATCCCTGGTGCCTGAGACTAAAAGCTGGGGTGTGTACATTAAGGATGAGATGCTATCCCTACAAAGCTGTTAAAGCTCTCCAGAGGTCTCTTACAAAATCAGAATATCTTTAAAAAATGGATAATTCATTTTTTACTATCAATTATATGCCAAAAAAATAATATAACTGCATTAAATGGTAATCCATGTAGCTGCAGAATTCTTTAATATATTTCTTAAGTAATGGGGTCAAAATATAATTAGAGGTGTGATTTGCTACATGAATTTGGAAGCTGTTTTTCGTATGCAGGATATGTCTTGAAAAAAAACAGCAAGAGGAAAGGTCTTGAAAATCGTGCTTCTGAACAACAGGAGATAAAGGCATGTTTATTCATGGTTTATTCACATCACCAAGGTTTAATTTACTTTGCCCATGAAGCAAGTCCAGACCCAAAGAGCATCAAGACATTTGCTGCCCACCACAATTAGACAAATAACTCATTACAGCTGCAGTATATTCCAGAACAGGTAATGGGTAGAAAAGGGTTTTCTTATTGATTGCATTTCTGTGGACAAAGGAAAGACTCAGTGCTGGAGGGATGCTATTGACTGATCATTGCGCTGCCACAATTCCTTTCACTGCTTGTTGTACACAGGGAACACATCTCACTTTCACTTGCCAGGAGCAAGGAACACGTCTAAAGCATATTTTTAACAACTTACAGTCAGATGCACAGAAAAGAGTTGAAGAAGCAAGGAATGCACACTTAAATGCAGTACAGATGAAGCTGCACACCTTCAGAGCCTGCTTCAAAACTCATTTCTTGCTTGTCAGTAAAACTGCTTGAAATTCCCCAGCAGGAGCAGCCCTGTGACATTGCAAACACACGTTGCTCCAGCCTCTGTCTGCAGACACAGTGCCTCTGAGGCTGCCAGTAAGTCTGTAATTCTGCAGTGTTTCCTCCTCAAAATGAGTTTTCTCACATGGGAAAAATGTTAGCAGTTCAGAAGCACACATCGATTCCTGTTCTGAGCTGGGCTGAAACTAAAAGTAAGTTTAAGTCCTCCAAAAATTAGTAGTTAGGGCAATTGTCTGGGATGAGAGAGAGTCCCACCAAAGTTTCTGGCCTGCCTGCATTGTGCCAGGACTGGAAAGCTGTTGAGCTGATTCCCAGCTCAGCGCTCCAGCTGTGCCATAATCCCCCACTGTGGGAACAAATCATTGGGTAAAGAAAAATTTATCTGGGCAAAAAAGAGAGATCAACTCCAGGGGTCATCAAATTGCTTCTATTTATTAAGAGATTGGATTGTTATGGCTTGGTTTTTTTTTAGGGTCTTCCCTGTTGCCTTATTTGTTTGAAAAAAAATCTTTCTCACATGGAAGGAATCATAGAATCACAGAATCGGCTGGGTTGGAAAAGACCTCTGAGATCAAGTCCAACCCTTGATCCAACACCACCGTGGTTACTAGACCATGGCACTAAGTGCCACATCCAGTCTCATCTTAAAAACCTCCAGAGATGGAGAATCCATCACTTCCCTGGGCAGCCCATTCCCATGCCTGATTACCCTCCCTGTAAAGAATATCTAACCTAAACCTCCCCTGGCAGAGCTTAAGACTGTGTAGACTAAGCCCTTCATTCTAAATTATCACATTCATTTCCAAAGCAACTATTAGAAACAGCTGAGGTGACTAAATGATAAAATAGTGGGAGATCACGGAGAAACCAAGAAGATGCTTCATGCTGAGCACCATTTCCAGCCTGGCAGGAGGGCACTGCTTTCCAGTGCTGCTGGAGAAGAGACACGTTTGTGTGGACATGCTTCCGCATGTAGGGACTACCAGAGACACCCCGGCTTTTTAAATCAAGCCTCCCTCAGCACATGCTGCCTCCTCCCTGACCAACAGAAGGTTCTGGCTCTTCCCAATCCCACCTCCTGCAATTAAGCCCTTGGAAGGGCTGTCCTCACCAGCCTCGCTCCATAAATGATAACTCCACTATTCCCAGCGGTGTTGCTTCAGTCATCCAATCTGCATACAAATACCCTTTGGGCATCCAGCTGACTTTCTACAACACTGTCATGGTAGTCTCAGTCTGCCTCTTAATAAGAATCTCATAAGATTATTTTAAACAAGTATTTACTGCTTAAGCAAACGTGCTTCTAAGGCATCTTCTTTCTAATGCCTTTTTCAGCTGTTTTTTCTCCCCTCCAGCTGGTATCACTTTTCAGTTGCCTGCCTAGCGTTGGGGAGCCAGTTAGCATCTGCTTTTGCAAAGAATTCCATTATCTGCCTTCATTACCAGATACTTTACACAAGGCAATTGTAATTCTGTTGTTGCTGCATTACACATGGGACACAGCGATTCCTGTTTTGGCACCACATTCGGTGACAATATGCCTATCACAACTTCTACAAACATATCTCACCAAGGATATTTAACTGCTAATATTGCATCCAGGTTCTTTTAAAAATATTACACAGCTGTAACATGAACTAAAAGCACAAGTAAACACTTTAGTGATCTCTCCTGCAATAATATCTCCCAGTTATATTAGCAGACAATTACATTTCAAAGAGAAACCCTGGAAATGGAAGACAACTGCTCTCAAACAATATACTATTATGCTGCTGCATATGTTTCCCTGCCTCAGCCACTATTCCTATTATATTAAACAGAGAGATAAAAGAAATAAATGGGGACAATATGGTCAGGATATTGGAGTTTGCATGATCTAGTATTGCAACAAACACACAATTTATCTGCACAGCAAAACCAGACACCACTTCTCAGGAAGGCAAAAGGCTCTTTAAATTACAGAGAGATATAAAGCACTTGCAAAGGGCTGAGAAGCCTGTTTCCCAAACCTGCTGAAATATCCAGTTAAATGAGCTGAAAGGGAAGAGGTGTTGCTCTGGAAAATGGTGTCTCTGTGTGATGCAAATGAGAGTCCATCTAGAAAGGTAAAAGGAGGATAGAAAAATCTCTGGATGACTCAGCTAAGTGATTTGGTTTAGTATCAAGTGCTCAATATTAAAACCGTCAAGGCAAAATACAGAGAAAAGAAAGGGGAAAAAACACCACAGAGAGAGACAGAACTGGTATTTGTACATAGAAGGTGATACTGAGGATTTTACATCCCTCTTGTGTCACGTCAGATAACTATTAGCAACATATGCTGGCTTTTGGAGACTTTACAATGATCTCATTTATCAGCCTGTGTTCATTCTAATGCGTTTAGCTCCCATTTTTTATTACATAGCACATAACGTGGTTACAGTCCTGGCCTTTTCCGAGATTTCCCTGCTCAGACAGCAGTGTTGCAGCATCACAACCACTGTTCTTCACTTAGTAATGATAGACATCAGAATGCAGGCAGCATCCACTACACAGAGCCAACCTTGCATATCAAACAACTAATTCCCTTCCTGATTTCACTATAAACATTAAAAAAAAATAATGTAGGAAGTCCCTTGAAAGCTAACCCTGGAGCTGTGAGGGCAGCACGTCTAATTTACTGATTACAATTTACAAGAACCTAAATAAGCATATTGAAGGGACCATAATTGAACAAATGGGGTTTAGAATTCTCCCACTACTAATAAT